ACTTTTGAGATATTCTTTATAAGCATAAATGCAAATTGTATCATAGGTTGAGAAGGGAAATTGGTGCTCTTCTTTAGTAAAATTGTTTAAATTCATACTATCTTTCCTGTTTAATTATTCATACAATTAAATTACTCTTGATCATTTTTTAAAATCTTAGTTTTTAAATTTTTATAATGTATTTTCTTTCAGGTTTCTGCTGCTTATTGACCTCTGTGTCATAAACCTTCTTTTGTAGTGCAAAAACTTTAAATTCTGATTGTACATAGTTGGGAGGTCTTATTTTTATTTTGCTTTGTGCAAGTGTCTTCATTTCATCAGGTTTTAAAACCAGACTTTTAGTGTTTAAGCCACATGACTTTATTTAATAAAATCTAAATAAATGTTTGCTGAACTATAATAATTGCTACCATTTATTGCACACAGAGCTGTTCACCTTTCGTAAATTATCACATTTAATCCATATACCAAAGAGACAATGAGTATAGCATTCCCATTTTAGAGAGAAGAATTTTGAAGTGTAGAGAGGATAAGAAACATGAAAACAATCACAGGGTTAGTGAGGGGGAGTTTTGGACTTTGAGTGTAGACCTTTCCCATTCAGTTGTATTTCATGACTTCCTTAAACAATGAATGGCCATTCAAACTGGCTACCCTTGAAGGCCACTCAAACTATCTCCCATCCTGGTTTTTTACACAGTTCTTTCTGTGGTTTCTATTTTGTTTGTTTTTCCCCAGATCATTTAACACACATCTCTCGACTTTTATTTCTCTGTAACATACTGATTGATTTATGTGTTCCCCTTTCTCTTCTAGTTTATACTTCTTTGAGAGAAAGCATTGTGTCATTCATTTTATTTTATTTTTCTTTGGTTTGAAATTATTTACTGCCATTAGTTCTGGTCTACAATATATTGAGTTCCCCTCTGCCCCCAGGTTTACTGAGATATGTGTAGATATTGTGAAATGTTTACCACAATAATGTTACTTAATACATCTATCACCTCACATAGTTCCCATGTATCATTCATTTTCAATACTCATTATCTAGCATTGTGCTTCACACTTAATACATCTTTGAATGTGTTGATTAATTAATTTTAATCAGATATTGTATATTTGTTTTCTCACAAAATCACATCAAACTTATTTATTGAAATAGCAGGAATAATTTTTCAGTGAATTGGCATAATACAATTAATAAATATGATATGTAGTAGAGAAATTATTACTGATTTACAAAATAACAGAATTTCTACATTTAAATTAATTTGTTTCCTTCAAAATAATCATCTAGGGAAATAACATTATTCTAAAAATGTGGCTATTTGTTCAGATCTAATTGGAGCTTGTTTTTATTTCCTCAAAATTTATGGAACCTTTTTTGAGTATACTCTATGATAAGATAATCATAAAGTTTCAAAATATTTCTATATAATCTTTCAAGGAGATTATAGTCATTTGTAAGAACTCTAATTTTTAAAAAGTTATATATAATACTAGGCGCCCAGTGCACGAATTCGTGCACTGGTGGAGGTCCCTTGGCCTGGCCGGCAATCAAGGCCTATGGGGGGCAGCCAGGGAAGGGACTCCAGGAGTTGGTCAGCTGGTCGAGGGCTGCCAGCTTGGGGAGGGACTGTGGGACGTTGACCGGCTGGCCCTCTGATCAGGGCCATCGTGGTGGGGAGGGCGGCTGGCTGGGGGGAGGGGCTGTGGGAGTGCACTGACCACCAGGGGGCAGCTCCTGCATTGAGCATCTGCCCCCTGGTGGTTAGCGTGCATCATAGCAACTGGTCAACCGATTGTTCGATCGTAACGGTCACTTAGGCTTTTATATATATACTAGAGGCCTGGTGCATGCAATTTGTGCACTTGGGGTGGGGGGGGGGGTCCCTCAGCCAGGCCTGTACCCTCTTGCAGTCCGGGAGCTCTTGGGGGATGTCTGACTGCCTTCAGTCGGACATCCTTAGCGCTGTCATGGAGGCAGGAGAGGCTCCTGCCACTGCCGCTGCACTTGCTTCTGGCTGAGCAGTGTTCCCCCTGTGGGAGCACACTGACCACCAGGGGGCAGCTCCTGCATTGAGTGTCTTCCCCCTGGTGGTCAGTGCGCATCATAGCGACAGGTTGTTCCACCGTTTGGTTGATTTGCATATTAGCCTTTTATTATATAGGTTAGATGTTTTAAACATCAGCATACTTTCTCCACAATACTGAAATACTGAACTATGGGGTTAAGACTATTTTCTTCTCTTTTTTTTAAATTAAAGACTAATTTTTAGAGCAGTTTTAGGTTCACAGCAAAATTAAAAGGAATGTACAAAGGTTTTCCATATAACTCTTGCCTCACACATGTATAACTTGCCCTATTATAACCACCCTCTACCAGGTACATTTGTTATAATTGATGAACCTACACAGACACATCACCATCCAAAGTCCATAGTTTACATTAGGTTTCACTCTTGGTGTTCTATACTCTGTGGGTTTGAGCAAATGTATAATGACATGTATTCGTCATTATAATATCATACAGAGTATTTTCTCTAGCCTAAAAGTCTCTGTACTCTGTATATTTATCCCTCCCACCACCTTTACTCCCCTTCCAACCCCTAGGTCTTTTTCTTTAAAAAAAAAATGTGTATTTTTTTTATTGATTTCAGAGAGGAAGGGAGAGGGAGAAAGAGAAAGAAACATCAATGATGAGAGAGAATCATTGATCGACTGCCTCCTGCATACCCCCTTCTGGGGATGAGCCTGCAACCCGGGCAAGTGCCCTGGACTGAAATCAAACCTGGGACCCTTCAGTCCACAAGCTGATGCTCTATCCACTGAGCCAAACAAGCTAGGGCTCCACGGATCTTTTTATTGTCTCCATAGTTTTGCCTTTTACAGAATGTCATACGGTTAAAATCATACAGTATGTAGCCTTTTCAGGTTAACTTCTTTCACTGAGTTAATATGCATTTAAGTTTCTTCCATGAATTTGCATGGCTTATTAGATCATTTCTTTTTAGCACTGAATAATATCCCATATAGATGTATATATACACACCAGTTTGTTTGTTTTTATCCATTTACCTACTGAAGGTCATCTTGGTTGCTTCCAAGTATTACCAATTATAAATAAATCTGCTGTAACCATCTGTGTGCAGGTTTTTATGTGGACATAAGTTTTCAACTCCTTTGGGTAAATATCAAGGAATATGGTTGCTGGATCACATGGTAAGACTGCTTGGTTTTGTAAGAAACTAACAAAACATCTTCCAGAGTGAATGTACTATTTTGCATTCCCATGAGAAATGAATGAGAGTTCCTGTTGCTTCACATCCTCAGAAGCATTTGGCACTGTCAGTGTTTTGGATTTTAGCACTCATGATAAAGTTCAGTGGTATCACATTTGTTTTAATTTGCAATTTCCTAATGGCATATGGCAAGGAGCACCTTCTCATATGCTCATTTGCCATTTGTACACTTCTTTGGTGAGGTGTCTATTAAGTTTTGTCCATTTTTTAAACTAGGTTATTTGTTTTCTTATTGTTGAATTTTAAGACTTCTTTATGTATTTTGGTTAACAGTTCTTTGCGTGTTTATATCTTGCAAATAACTTTTCCCAGTCTGTGGCTTGTGTTCTCATTCTCTCCATTGTGTCTTTCACAGATTAAAAGTTTTTAATTTTAATGAAGTACTGTTTATTAATTCTCTCTTTCATGGATTGTGCCTTTGGCGTTCTATCTAAAAAAGTCTTTGCCAAACCCTAGTTCATCTAGATTTTCTCCTATGTTATCTAGGAGTTTTATAGTTTTGCATTTAACTTTTAGGTCTGTGATAGATTTTGAGTTAATTTTTGTGAAGAGTGTATGGTTTGTGTCTAGATACATTTTGTTTGTTTGTTTGTTTGTTTGTGGATATCTAGTTTCAGCACCATTTATTGTAAAGACTATCTTTTCTCCATTGAGTTGCCTTTGCTCCATTGTTAAAGATCAGTTGACTGTATTTGTGTGCTCTATTTCTGATTTCTGTTCTGTTCCATTTATCTACCTCTTTATTCTTACACCAATACTATAATGTCTTGATTTCTGTAGCTTTATAATAAGGCTTGAAGTCATTTCTCACATTTTGTTCTTTTCTTTCAATACTGTGTTAGATACTTCCATCTTCTCTTGAACAACATATACTAGCGTAAAATGAAAGCCCAGAAGACTAAATATTAGAATTGTATTACTACCTTATGCTTAGAAGATACTCAATAAATATTGCATGTGAAATGTATTCTCACCAGAAATTTGTGTTTATTGGTTTGAAAAAGAGATAAAAGTAGGGAGCAGAGTTGCTGCCATATTAATGTGGCCATACCTGTAAATGCCATTTCCTGGTATTATTAAAGGTTCAGAATCTAACTTTGCATTGTTTAGAGTCTAAGTGGCAAGATAAAAATGAACACCTATACGAATATAACAAATGATATTTTAATGACATAAATCTTATTCACTGTGCATAATAGTTCTTCCATTCTCATTTATGTTGACATTTTTATAATGAGGGCTCTTACGTTTGGTGATTGATGTTAAACTTTAAGAAGATTGTACCAAACTTGCACAAATTACAGAAACATTTTCAAGTGTAAGATTAATAAATATTTTTTCTTCCCACGAAATGCTTTTTCCCCCATGAAATGTTTTAGTGTATTAAAGTGAGAGGATTAATATTTAGTCTTTTAGAAGACAGTTTGTTTTTAAGAGCACTTAATGAAATACTGTTAATAAAATATTAAAGAATGACTTGGTACTACATGACATATAATTATGTTTACATCTGAGGCCTGAGATGTTTCTCTTTATTCACTGATCATGCCTACCTACATCATGAAAATTGAGGAATGGAGAAAACTATATGTGGATACAATGTATAAGCAAACAGTGATCTTATATATACCTTCATATATCTTTTATCTCTTCCTGCAAATATAAATTCCCAGTGTGTATTTAAATTCTTTATTATAGTTGGTGTCTAAAGGAGTAAAGGGTTCTGATATGTCTCCTCCTTTGGGACAGCATGAAGCAAGTGGCTCGCCATCAAAGCATCAGATAAGACCTGTTATTTCTGTGACTTCAGCCTTGAAAGAAGTGGGTATGGTAAGTTTCCTAAAATTTAGTGCTCCTTAAAGTCAAAAGATTATCAAAAGGATTCAATTTAATGAAGTTATATTAATTTCTAATGTTCCATTAGATTTTTCTAGGAATAAAATTACCTAAGATTTCTGTGTCTGCTCTACTCTGAATTCTGGAGCCTTGCTGCTCATAAGTTTTATATCTAGGAACACCTGGTAGATAAAACTATTTTAAAGTTATTCTCTCTCCCTCTTTTACTTTAAAATAATATTGAACAAATAAAATATATATACAAATGTACCAAAAATAAAGCAAAAACATTTTTATATCCCAGCTTTCATAATTAACAAAGGCGTACTTTTTAAGAAATAATGTCTTTGGTACTTAGAGTAATTAACTCTAGGAATAAAGTTTAAGACATATTTACATTTATTGTTTTGGCATAGCAAATGTTAGAGGAGTCAGTATAATTACAATTAATGCATCAGTTATTTCTTTTACCTTCTATTTCTGAATCTGTCTTGCCATATGGATGACACACAAATATGTGGGCGAGTATAAAGTTTAAGCTCTGAAGAATGTGCCAGGTATCCATCTGAAATGTGAAAACTCTGTTCTAAGGTTAAGGGAAATGGGTTCATGATGTGGAATTTCAGTCTAGAATTCATCAGACAGAAGGGGAAAAGTCTCCTGAACCATCTATATAATAAAGAGCCAGGGTCATAACGACCCAAGGCTCGACCAGACCGGAAGTCAGTGCTGGGTTGCTGTGGTGACCCAGCACTGACTGGGGCTGCTGCGGGCGCCCAGACCCAGCACTGACTGCCTAGGGGGCTGCGGATCAGGCCCGGAGAGAGGCCTGCAGAGAGAGAGGCAGGGTCTGATCGGTAGCCTCTGTGGCAGCCATTGATCAGAACTTGCTTCTCTTTCTCTCCTGGCCTGGCCAACAGCCACACCTCCATTTCTCTCCAGGCCTCCACCAGGGCTGCTGATCAGCCCCCATTGATAGGCCCAGAGATGCTGACTGGCATAGAAACTGACCAATCAGAACCAGATCTGGGTGAATGTAAGGAGCCAATGGCTGCCTAGGAGGCGGAGCTTTTGACGCTGACTGGCATAGAAACTGACCAATCAGAACCAAATTGGCTGGCAGAGGAGGGCGGTTGGGGGCGAGATCAGACCAGCAGGGGAGGGCAGCTAGGGGCGATCAGGCTGGCAGGGGAGAGCAGTTAGGGGTGAGATCAGGCTGTCAGGGGAGTGTCGGTGGGGGTGAGATCAGGCCGGCAGGGGAGGGCAGTTAGGGGCGATCAGGCAGGCAGAGGCAGTTGGGGGCTCGATCAGGCTGGCAGGGGAGAGCAGTTGGGGGCTCGATTGGGCTGGCAGGGGAGGGCAGTTAGGGGCAAGCAGGCAGGCAGGTAGGGGCGGTCAGGCAGGCAGAGGCAGTTAGGGGTGATCAGGCAGGCAGGCAGGCAGGTAGGGGCGATCAGGCAGGCAGAGGCAGTTAGGGGCGATCAGGCAGGCAGGCAGAGAGGTTAGGGGCAATAAGGCAGGTAGGCAGAGAGGTTATGGGTAATCAAGCAGGTAGGCAGGTGAGTGGTTAGGAGCCAGTGGTCCCGGATTGTGAGATGGGTGTCCTAAACCAGTGGTTGGACATCCCCCGAGGGGTCCCCGATTGGAGTGGGTGCAGGCTGGGCTAAGGGAAGCCCCCCTCCATGCACAAATTTCGTGCACCGGGCCTCTAGTATAATATAACACATTAACCTGATTTCTCCTCTCCTGGTAATTAATGTCTGTGCCTTGTAATAGTTGAGTTTCATTAAATTTTGTAGACAACACTGTTATTGGTGCGCCAATTTTTACAGCCTGTGTGTTTGTCTTGAAAATAAGACTGAGTAGGAAAAGACAAGTTTCTTGGTCACTCTTAAAAACTTCATAGAAGTAACTGTTGTTCTTTAAGTAGGATTAGTCTCTCTTCTTTCTGATAACGACTTTGCATGTACTACGTTGTTCACTTCAACTTTAGATACCACTGTGTGGTTCCCTCCTGGTACCCAGTCTCACATCTCAAGTAGCTGTGACCTCTCTGGTTGTAGCAACTGCTAATTCCTGACTACTGTACTGGGTAAAAGGCTCTTTGTCTCATTACATGTATTGCTTTCAAACTGACCACTGTACTTTGTTTGTGTTTTTCTCAAATACTACAAATTAAGGTAATTCATGTAACTAAATGGTTTTTCTTTGTGTTTTCTTGGCAAATATTGCTTACTTATACTTTTAAAATTGCTCTTGCATACTCTGAGTCTTCCATATATAGTTTGCTTTCATAACTACTAATTTCTTCTTTTCACATATGTAAAAATTCTAGGTGTCTAAGATTGCTATGATTTTGCTAATCAAACAATAGAATTTATATTATCCTTGGTACATGGGGCTCAGAACTCACTATTGATACTCTCTTGGCTTAGGTAAAAAAGCCAGTTCTCAATTATGTTTAGTAGTATTGCTTAATAAGCATACATATGTACATGAAACAAAGAAAGCTTCAAAATAACACGGCCTATCTTGAATTACTTTATTCATCAAAACTTTCCTTAGCTCTGATTGAGAGCCTATATGAATTAATTTTCTTTTTATTTCTATTATTGACTTAAAATTACCAAAAAATTCAGGTGCCAAAGAGGAAGAGGATATAGTCAAATAGGTAATCAGTAATCCAAAAATATGACAAATAATTGAGAATTGGCCCTTTTACTATATATTTAATCTATTACCTGTTTCTCACTGCTGATAATATAGGAAGTTGTGTTAATATTTACAGGAATAAAATAACTCACAAGGAACAATTTAATGAAAAACAAAAAGTAACAAAAATTTTGAGTTAGAATGTTAAAATAACATTATTTCTTACTCTGAAACTATCTGTGTTTAAAGGACAGAAGTTTAACTGATACCCAGGACACCTCAGAAGAAATGCAAAAGACTAACAATTCCATTTCAGTAGGTACAATTTTCCATTTTTTCTCTCAATCATTTTACTTAATCATATACATTATAAAATACAGCATTTTAACTGTTTCAGAGTAAACGAGAAATACTACGGAGATTAAATCAAAATCTTAAAGCTCAAGAAGATGAAAAAGGGAAGCAGTGTCACCCTGATATGGGTGAGGTAATTGTGCATGAAAATGCCGAAAAGCATGAAAAAGAAAAGTTGATTTCACCTGATCGCAAGAAGTGGGAGGCAGGAGGTCAACTTGTGATTCCTCTGGATGAGTTTGCATTGGATACATCCTTCTCTGCAACTGACAGTATGTATGAAAGTGTTTTTATCCTGTTTTGGCATAGCACACATGTAAACTTATAGACTGGACACTCTGAGGGAAAGAACACTTTAGAGGGATTGAGAGAACCTGGAAGAAATTCACATATATGTGAAACATGGGGACAAAACTATCCAACCTTAAGAATAGCAAGGATTTTTATTACAGAAGTGTAAAGTGTGAGCGGGGGGACTAATGATATATACTATTTAAATTGTATTACTTTAACCCTTTCTAATCTGTTCCAGGAATAATTCTTGATGAGAACTAGAGTAGTAAACTGACAAAATCTCAGAAAGGTCCCTTAGGGATTTAGCAGGAATATTAAGAAGATCTCAATAATATATTTATTCAGCAATATTTATGAGCACCTACTATTGTCTTGCATTTTCCCAGGCACTAGATAGAGATATAACCGTGAATGAATGAAGTGATATGTGCTCTTTGGAGCTAATATTCTAAAAGAGCGAGGCTGACCTCTGTCTAAAGTTTTAAGTAATTTTTTTTAATGGACTATTTTTGTAGAATTCTTTCTTACCATGGAGAAAAGCCCAAAGATTCCACAGCATTTGTTTACTTATTTTAACAGTTCTTTTTAAAAAAATCTTTATTGTTGAAAGTATTACATATGTTCCCTTTTCCCCCCCATTGACCCCATCTAGGATGCCCCCCCACCCCCCGCCCCAGGCCTTCACTACCCTGTCATCTCTGTCCATGGGTTATGCATATATGCATACAAGTTCTTTGGTTGATCTCTTCCCACTAACCCATACACCCCTGTCTTCCCTCTGAGATTCCACAGTCTGTTCCTTGCTTCCATGTCTCTGGATCTATTTTGTCCATTAGATTCCACATATGAGTGAGATCATGTGATACTTGTCTTTCTCTGACTGGCTTATTTTGCTTAGCTTAATACTCTCCAGGTCCCTCCATGCTGTCTCAAATGGTAAGAGATCCTTCTTTTTTACAGGTGCATAGTATTCCATGGTATAAATGTACTATAGTTTTTTTATCCCCTCATCTGATGGGCACTTGGGCTGTTTCCACATCTTAGCTATTGTAAATTGTGCTGCTGTAAACATAGGGATGCATACATTCTTTCTGATTGGTGTTTTAGGTTTCTTAAGATATATTCGTAGAAGGGGAATCACTGGCTCAAATGGCAGTTCCATGTTTAATTTTTTGAGGAAACAATTCTTTATGGAATTCCATTATATGCCACATGCTCCTAAGCAGTGAGGATACATAATGGTTAAGACATATTCTCTCCACTCAAGGAGATTAGGGTCTAGTGCAGCCGTGGGCAAACTACGGCCCGAGGGCCGGATCCGCCCGTTTGAAATGAATAAAACTAAAAAAAAAAAAAAAAAAAGACCGTACCCTTTTATGTAATGATGTTTACTTTGAATTTATATTAGTTCACACAAACACTCCATCCATGCTTTTGTTCCGGCCCTCCGGTCCAGTTTAAGAACCCATTGTGGCCCTCGAGTCAAAAAGTTTGCCCACCCCTGGTCTAGTGGAAAGGGAGGCAAGAAAAGAGGCAATTCATTATAGTTGATAAATAATGTGGTAGGAAATAATCATAAGGCACTGTAAGAATATGTATCCCAGGGCATAAATCAGTCTTGGGAGAGCTAAGAAAATGATTTTTGGAAACAGTGATGTGCTAAGGAATAAAAAGTGTTAGCTAAATAAACCAAAGCCAAGCAGAGTGTTTGCTGCAGAGAATTAGTAGGACTGATAATTACGAGAGCATGTGAAGCGCAGGGAATGGATATAATTCAGCGTGGTTGGCAAAGTTCAGAATTCAAGACAAAGAATGGCAAGCAAGAAACCTTGGAAGAGGTAAGCAGGGCCAGATCATGAAGGGTTCTATACACTGGCTGTGTTGAACAGTATGAGCTTTACCCTTATTGAGAGAGGTCTTCAAACAGTGTGCCATTAATGGTTTTCTGGCATATTGAATCCTGACTGGGGAATAATAGATGGGGGGCAGGGGGGGGGAGCATAATGGTACCATCAGACTGGTGGTACTTTGAATTTTTGTCCTCTTCCCTAATCTGGCTGCTACTGTTTGCATCTCAGAGTTTTCAAATAGCTTAATAGCTTATGCATTTTGTCCTGGCTTCTACAGCTGTATTGAGAGACACAGGTTGATGCTTACTTCATCTTCCCAAGACTTTGAAATGTAATTATCCTTAAAGAGATTTAAATACTAAGAAAATTAGTCTTTATAGTTATCTGTGTAATGGCAATTTCTAGTATTTTTTAATGTCTTTGTTTAGGTTCACATATCCACGTAGTATCATTTTCCTTCTGGCTAAAGGACTTATTTTAACATTTTTTTGTAATATTGGCGATAGATTCTTTCAACTTTTTTACTGAAGAGTATTTCACCTTAACTTTTAAAAGATATTTTCTCTGGGAATAGAGTTCTAGGTTGGCAGTTTTGTCTTTCAGTGCTTTAAAGATGTTGCTCCACTGTCTTCTTACTTGCATTGTTTCTGACAAAAATCTGATTCTTACCTTTGTGCCTCTCTGTATAACATGTCATTTTTTGGTGATGTGTCTTGAAATTGTTGTTTTAGATATTTTTCTCAATTGTTTTGGTTATTTAGGCAATAGCACAATCCAGTATCCTATTCCATCTTACTCAGGATTAAAAAGTCCTTGAGACCAGTTTTTAGAGGCCTTGTACTAATATAGACGAAAAGTATTGATAACTTTCACAGAGTTGCTGAAAGATGATAAAGAAAAGAGGGCACTTGTAAGATATATTTGGAGACAGGCCTGTAAGGGTTTTATGTGAAACTCTTCTAGGAGTTTGTCAGAGGAAGAAAAACTTTGAAGACAAAATGAGGAACATTTAGAGTTAGGAAAATTGAGAGTGTGGCTTGGATTACAAGGAAAAAGAGAAGACTTAAGAAAGAGCGATGACAAATTGAGGCTAAAAAATTTACATTGGTTTTGTCCAGGAAAAGGCATTGTGATCTTGATAAAAGCAGTGTCATTAGAGTGCCAGGGGCAGAAATAGAGCCTAGGAATTAAGAAGCAAATGGAAGTTGAGGAAATTAAAAAAAAAATTTTAACCAATGGACACAGACACTGGGGTGGTGGGGGCTTGCCAGGGGTGGGTCAATTGGAGAAAAAGGAGACATATGTAAATCTTTAGACAATAAATTAAAAAAATTTTAGAACCTTTTAAGGAAGCTGAGCTATGAAGGGCAACAGAGATATAGGTTGGTGTTACTTGGTAGCAATTTAGAGTCAGTGAAACTTTATGAAAAAAGAGACTTGAAAATATTTTATGCTAATTAGGTTAAAGTATATCACATCACTCTCCCATTTTAAAACAAGTGATTTCCATGGCAATTAGAACAAAAATCCAAAGTCCCTTTCATAGTCCACTAGGCTCTCCTGAGGTTTTCCCTTGCCTATTGACCTATCTACTTCTTTCTACCTACAGTGGGGCCTTGACTTACGAGTGTCCCGACTAACAAGTTTTTTGAGATACCAGCTGTCTCTCAGCCAATTTTTTGCTTTGAGTTGACAGAGTAATTTGAGTTAACGAGCTCAGTCTCAGAACGAATTAAACTCGTAAGTCAAGGCCCCACTGTACTCACTTTTTACTTCTTTTAACACATGCCAAGCTCTTTCTTTTTCTCTTATTCTTAGTTTTCATTTTTAGTATTAATATGTCTTATTTCTTCTCAATGCTTTTTAGATTTTCTCACTAAACTATGGTGTTTTTTTTAAGCTATGGTTTTAGTAAATTTGATTATGATGTACCTTTATGTCATTTTTCTTCATGTTTCTTTTACTTAGGTTTTGTTGAGCTTCTTGGATTTGTGAGTATATAGTTTTCATCAGATTTGTTTGCCATTATATTTTCCAGCCCTCCTTTCTAGATGCTCAATATGAATCTTGTTAATGTTTTCCTTATCTGTGAGTATCATCAGCAATCTTGTCTCTAGTTTGTGGAACATATGGAATTCAGTCATAATGACAGTTATAAACGTCCCTATCTACTAATAACATCATCTCTGTCATTTTGGGGGTTGGTTTTGATTGATAGACTTTTTTTTCTATTTAGTGTAAGTTGAATTCTGCTGCTTTTTTATACAGGCTTGGTAATTCTTGTTTGGAGGCCAAGCAGTTAATTTTACTTTGATGGGTGTTATATATTTTTGTGTTTCTGTAAATATTTTTGTTCTTTTTGTTCTGAGACACAATTCACTTGTAAAAAGTTTGACCCTTTTATGTCTTGCTTTTAAGCTTTGTTAGATTGAGCCAGAACAATGTTTAGTCTGTGGCTAATTTTTCTCCCTTTACTGAGTCAAAAACCTCTCTGAGTAATGTACTTGATGCCTTGTGAATTATAAGATTTCCTTTTCTGGCTGGTGGGAATAGGGACTATTTCTGATCCTGTGTAAACTCCAAGTATTGCTCCCTCTACTCCTTTCGGGTGGTCTTTTTTCTAGACTACAGTAATTTCCTCACACATGTGCTGATCGTTATTCAGCTTAGACTTGAAGGGGCTCTTTACAGTTCTCCTAAATTCTCTATGTGTGTAGTTTTCTACTCTTCAGCACTCTTCTTGCCAACGTAAGCCACTTTGCCACCCTAGACTTCCAGTTCCATTACCTCTGCTCAGAGAGACCACCTGGTCTTCCCTGTATCAAAGGGTATGAAGTATATATATATTTTCTTATGGACATTCAGTTTTCTACTTTCCTTTGTTAAAGAGACCCCAAACACATATTACATTGCTTTGGCATCTTTGTCAAACACCAAGTGGCTGTAAGTCATAGGTCTATTTTTGGGTTCTCTACTCTTTTCAACCATCTTTTTTTTAAAAATTGGTTCCCTGTTGGTAACCTTTTTGACTGTACAAACTGATTATTACCTGCTAATTTTCAGGTCCTTACTTCCATAGAACTGGTACACAAAAATTTATATCAGTAAATATTTGGGTACCATTGAAAGTTTATGACTTATACCCCATACTAGTAGCCTGGTGCACGAAATTTGTGCACATTAAAAGGGAATTAATTGCCCTAAGTGGTTTGGCTCAGTGGATAGAGCATCGGCCTGCGGACTCAAGGATCCCAGGTTCGATTCCAGTCAAGGGCATGTACCTTGGTTGCGGGCACATCCCCAGTGGGGAGTGTGCAGGAGGCAGCTGATCGATGTTTCTTTCTCATTGATGTTTCTAACTCTCTATCCCTCTCCCTTCCTCTCTGTAAAATATCAATAAGATATATTTTTTTAAAAAAAGGGAATTAATTAGCGGAGATATTTTAATATTGCTATTTGCCCTTTCTCTATAATAGAAGTGTGAGAAATGAAAGGAAATTAGTAAAATGTATATGAAAATAATATATAAATTTATTAATAAATAAACAGTAACAAAAGGATATAACAACAACAGAGGCATGATATAAAAACGAAAAAAATATAATATGAAAACAACAAAAACATGATATGAAAACAACAAAAACATGATATAAAAACAACAGTGATGCAAACAGTGACTGATAAATTGATTAAACTTATTCTAATATCTCCCTGTACACCACATTAAGAGTGAAAACACTTTCAGAGTGCTTGAATTGGTCATTTATATTGGGAATGAAAGGTTCTTCCACCGAGAAGTAAATTTGCAACAATTCCTGTAGACGCTGTGGGTAAAACAGTACCACCACAACCTCTGATATAATGTATTAAAATTTTATTGTGGGGAGCCACTACAGTGTTTTGGACAGGTTCAAGCCTTGGACTGATGAGAAGGCACAGTCTTCTCATTGCCACGTGCAAGTCCCAGCTTGGAGGGCAGGGCCCTCCCAGCACAATTATAGCCAACAGCTATAGTTGTGAGCTTGAACCTTTGGTCCGAACACGTGGCCACACATGCCTGAGTAATATGGGCTTGATAGAGGTCAGGTGCATGTAATTGAGTAGGATTGAAACCCAGGAGAATGTTGTAAACATCTTGGTCATGCCCTTACTTTGCCTTGTGGCATCCACACTAATAAAAGACAAACATGCAAATTGACCGTACCTTCGCTGCACCTTAAGCCACGCTCACCAGCCAATCAGAGCAACTATATGCAAATTAACCCAACCAAGATGGCGGCCAGCAGCCACGGAGCTGGAGCAAGCAGGAGGCTTGGTTGCCCCAATGATGGAGGAAGCCAAGCTTCCCGTCTGCCGTGGCGGCTCTGAGCTCCACTCAAAGCAACAAAGTTTCAATTACAGAAGGTAAATAAACCCCAGATACCTACTTTCAGCCGACTGTGGCTACAGAGCTGGAGCGAGCAGGAGGCTTCCCTCCCGCCTGCCCTGGCCAGCTCTGAGCTCCTCTCAAGGCTACAAAGTTTTAATTATAGAAGGTAAATAAATCCCAGAATAAAAAATTTTAAAAAAAGGAGAGGCTGGGAGCTTCCGTTGCCGGGGGGCTTGACCAGCCTGAAAACGGCCCTCAGCCCCTCACCCAGAATGGCCAGGCACCCCAGTGGGGACCCCCCACCCTAAAGGGGGTGTGGCCAGCCTGAAAACAACCATCAGCCCCTCACACAGACTGGCCAAACCTCCATGGGGTGAGGGTCCCCACTGGGGGGGGGGCTTTACCAGCCTGCAAACAGCCATCAGCCCCTCACCCAGGCCGGCCAGGCACCCCAGTGGGGACCCCCACCCTGAAGGGGGGTGGTGGCCAGCCTGAAAACAAACCATCAGCCCCCTCAACCCAGGCCTGGCCAAAACCTCCATGGGGGTGAAGGGTCCCCACTGGGGGGGGGGCCTTGACCAGCCTGCAAACAGCCATCAATCCCTCACCCAGGCTGGCCAGGCAACCCCAGTGGGGACCCCCACCCTGAAGGGGGTGTGACCAGCTGCAAACACCCATCAGCCTCTCACCCAGGCTGTCAAGGCACCCCAGCAGGACCTCCACCCTGATCCGGGACACCCTTCAGGGCAAACCAGCTGGCCCCCCACCCATGCACCAGGCCTCTAGCCTATATAATAAAAGGGTAATATGCAAACTGACCCTAACAGCAGAAAGACTGGGAATGACTGGTCACTATGACAAACACTGACCACCAGGGGGCAGACGCTCAATGCAGGAACTAGCCCCCTGGTGGTCAGTGTGCTCCAACAGGGG